TGAGGATGATTTGGAGCACTTACTGATGAAGATTAAAGACTACAGTCTGCAGTATGGATTACACCTCAACATAAAGAAAATGAAAATCCTCACAACTGGACCAATAAGCAGCATCACGGTAACTGGAGAAAAGATTGAAATTGTCAATGATTTCATTACTTGGTTCCACAATCAATACCAATGGAAGCAGCAGTCAAGAAATCAGAAGACCTTTTGTACTGGGCAAATCTGCTGCAAAAGACCTCTTTAAAATGCTGAAGAGCAAAAATGTCTCTTTGAAGACTAAGGTAAGCCTAACCCAAGCCATGGTGTTTGCAATTGCCTCATGTACTTGTGAAAGCTGGCCAATGAATAAGGAAGACTGAAGAACAGTTGATGCTTTTGAGTTGTGTTGGAGGAGAATGCTAAGAGTACCATGGTCTGCTAAAAGGACTAAAAAAGCTGTCCTGGAAGAAGTGCAGCCAGAATGCTTCTTGGAAGTGAGAATGGCCAGACTTCGTCTCACCTACTTTGGTCACGTTGTCAGAAGGGACCATTCCCTGGAGAAGGATATCATGCTTGGTAAAGTAAAGGGTCAACGAAGAAGGGGAGAAACCTCAACAAGATGGACTGACACAGTGGCTGAAACGATGGGCTCAGGTATAGCAATGATTGTGAGGCTGGCACAGGACTGGACAGTGTCTCATTCTATTGTACACAGGGTCACTATGAGTAGGAGCCAACTCAATAGCACCTAACAACAGCAACAACAACAACAGAGAGCAATAGAAAAATGGTAAGACTGCACCCTGTCAAAGGTGGAAAGCTTGTGAGACCCACAAAAACAAGGCAATTGTTTCAGTTGAGTTCCAGCTTTCACAGGTTTCACTGTATAATATTAAGGATAGTTCTGAAAGGATATTTGCAATAATTAAAATTATCTCAGGGGAGATTTAAGGTGCTACAGCATTTGGACATGGAATCTTAAAAACACATTCCCATGGTCTCCCAGGTCAGGTGAAAGTTTGATTACAGACACTAGATGGATGGATGATTGGCTTATAATGAACACAAACACCTTAGAGTGGAATTGAGTTGGACCAGGAACCAACAAGGGCACCAGTGAGGAAATCTCTGGAAAGGAATGAAATTAAGTTGGGCTGGACTTTTTATGGCAATAATAGCCAGAAGTAGGCTCCATAGAATGCCAAGTTTGTCCACATACATTGCTGCACAGAACTGAGATGAACACTGGATGTGTAAGAGGACTGTTACTGTTAGCTGCCATTGAGTCAACTCCACCTCATGCCGACTTTAAGTACAACAGACTGAAATGTTGCCTGGTCCTGTGTCATTGTCATAATTGTCAGAGTGTTTGAGTTCACTGTTGTGGCTATTGTGCCAATCCATCTCACCGAGGGTATCCCTTGTCTTGTTGGGCCTCTACTTCACTAAACATGATGTCCTCCCCAAATGATTGATCACTCCTGATGATGTATCCAAAGCATAATAATGTTCTACTGTGATCCATAATGTTTTCTTTGGCTAATTTTTGGAAGGTCGCCAGACCTTTCCTCCTACTCTGTTTTAGTCTGGAGCTCTGCTGAAACCTGTCCATAATGACTAACCTTGCTAGTATTTGAAACACTGGTGGCATAGTTTCCAGCATCACAGTAACATTCAAACCACCAGGGTATGACAAACTGACAGATGGGCGATGGGAAAGGAATCCTGTCATCCAATCTCATTTTAAAGATGGGAAAATTGAATCCCAGAAGGCCTAAATGATTGAAACAACTAGTGTCTGTGCTAGGTGTTTTTGTCCCTTCAACCCTTTCCTATCAGTGAAGAACAGCCCAGAGTGCGAGGCTGGTCATCTTGCATTTAAAATAATTAACTGAAGTGAGTGAAGGAAAAATTTAGTACTGATGGTTGAAGCTCCCTTCAATCCTAAACATCCAATAATCAAATCTTAATTAAAGCAGACAGTTGAGGAATGAAACCCATTTTATCTCCCAATATGGCAAAAGAAGGGAGCCTAAGGCACTTGACTGCTAACCAGAAGGCTGGTGGTTCAAACCCATCAGCCACTCCTCAGAAGAAGATGGGGCAATCTACTTCCGTAGTGATATTGCCTCAGAAACCCAAGGAGGGGACGCTATGAGTCAGGTCTGACTCAATGGCATATAACAACAACAACAACATGGCAAAAGAACTTGGAGGATATGAGACCTTCATAACAGTACAGCATGCTCAGTGTGTATTAACCAAGCATTATGTGGGTAGAAGCAGCAACCTTTACTGTCCATGTGCTGGTGGCCTGAGCCTCCAGAAACCCAAGCAGTAGAGAAGTGGCAGGTACCCAAACAAAACTAAAGAGAGACCCAGTCATGCTGCCAAGGCCTTCTGTAAAAAAGGAGCAGAAATAAAAAATATTCTTGCATCCAAATGTTATTCCCCAAGGCAAGCATATCTGGTTTCACAGAATAAGCACTGCTTACATCCATCTGTCAATTTGTCATACTGTGGTGGCTTGTGTATTGCTGTGATGATGGAAGCTATGCCATCTGTACTTCAAATACCAGCAGGGTCACCCATGATGGGGAGATTTCAACAGAGCTTTCAGACTAAGACAGATTAGGAAGAAATGTCTAGTGTTTTACTTTCAAAAATTAGTCATTGAAAAGGCCATG